TAATATATATACGCATACTGATTTAGTGTGGGATCAAAAGGAAATCACTGGCACTGACCAAAAATGACTGAACTGAACACATCAGTAGAGTTATTAAACTGTCGCTTACAAGGTGGCCAACAATCACTCAAAGCCGATTCTTATTGAATGGGCACCCAGTTCCTGGTCTCAAGTTAAATCACCGCAGTAGTGCACATGTAAGGTAGTCCGTGTCGCTCCCTAAGTGTTCAAAACCCATCGAACCTGTCTGAGTAAACCAAAGGAAGTGAAGAAGACCCTATTTCTAATCACTCTTTTCCAAAGTGAATTAGCTTTAGCAAAAACTCAAAGGAAAGGCATTTTGATCTCACGTTTATGATACAAAAGCCGCTTCATGTTCCAGTCGTAAAGGTAAATAGCAGAGTCACTTCCAGTAACACTCAGGAGGCTGATGAAAAATCTGGACAGCTCACCACCGATTTTGATTGTCTGGGGCCCGATAAATAGGCTTGATACTTGAATTTTATCAGGAAGGTCAGCTTCCTGAAAGCAACCACTGAATGCCCGAAATCTACTGAGACTCTCAGCTCCGCTAGATGCTGACCAGACAAACAACGCCCTCGCAATATGCAGCACGTCACAACCTCGTACTAAAGCCAGACCATATGCGCCAGCATTGGACTAAGTTCAGTGTCCCTCCAATAAATAACTTGAGACCGTTGTACTTTTGGCACTCGCACGCATTCACGCTCTCGCACTCGCTTGTTTGGAATATAGCTGTTGTGTTCCCTTCTGTGAGTCTTTTTTCTTTGGAACTAGGCACTAGAGCGTGTCAGCAGCAGATACCTCAGACTACCGAATCAGCAGATATAACAAATTTTCGGTAAGGTTACCTCCCAGGTGAACACAAATTAGTACGTCTGTAGCAATAAGCACTGGATCATTGCTGGCGGGAGACCAAAATTAAATGACCCAGCGAATCTCAGTTGCCTCCCCTCAAAACCAGAGTCAATATGCAAGTGATCCTCTTGGACAACATATGTACAAACTGGTGTTACAGAAGCAAATAAGGGGATTGGTATTTTGAAACCAGGCCCAACCAATGGGTCCCAAGAAGGGCTGAGTCAGGTTGTCTAGAGATTTCATCGACTATATGAGTAGCACCGAGGGGAAGACCATGCGCCAGACCAGCACTAAAAACTGAATTCTGATCGGGACTGAACTGCGCTGCTTACATATCAGGTAGAGTCACAACGAGGCTTAGTTTTGTGTCCCCTATATGATTCTTAAAACATCACCGATTCCGTTTTAGTGAGCGTTTTTCTTCAGCACAAGCATAATTTCCGGCAGATAATGGATGGAGTAACTTTAACACTATCTCTCTGAAGCAGTGGGGGTGGCACTGTCTTCGCACTAGTCCGTCAGTTTCGCAGGTGGAAAGTAGCTGTGAATATGAACAGTACATATTACGTGAACCGGAGCGACCAGATCAGCAACGAGTGCTATCCACTGTGTGAAATCTGACTCTCGGTAGGTGTAAATTAAATAAAGAAGAGCATGCATTAAAAATACCAAATAACCATATCCAGATGGGAATGCCTGATCTATGGATGGGTTAAAAGACGAAATTTTCATTTAGAGGAAACCTCACGTTGTAGAGGCCAAATTCTATCGGTTTCTGGGTGCTTTCTATGACAGAGATTCACTGTAGCTGCTTCTAAAACAGGCTCTGACGGTCGCGGTCGACTGACTCACCGTAACGTAGTAATTGCAAAGTTCACCTTGGCAGCATTCCACACACTGCCAGTCCATGTACCATTCCCGCTGACAAAACTGCCCGGAATGCTCTTTCAGACGCTCACACTCGTCGGTGGTAATGCAAGCTTTCCAAATAAAGTGACTACGATCACCCAGTGGAGACCAGTACGGAGGGACTGTTTAAAATGGAAAAAAGAAAGCAAGTTGGGTTACCACAAAGGACGTACCAAACCTACGTTGCCTCATGTTAACACAATTTTTTTCAGTACATCGTTGGTTGCAGTTCATCGAATAAACACCAGCATATTTAGCCCCTCAAATATGAAGCTCTACTGTCTATTCTGTGCTCTAAGCAGAAGTGATAGTCAGTCGGAAAATGAAGTCGGCCTTGTATGTAAAACTTTCAGCCTCTACCACGCAACTTCAGAGCAAATTTGCTCTGTCGGTTTGCTCCGGCATATTTTTCTCAGAGTTTAGCGTCATCATTTGATCAGCCTGTTAAGACTGGCTACAAAGTGTCCAGAACAGCGGAAGCGAAGTTGGTAACGAAGTGTGTAGACCTACTTGGAGGAGCTGGAACGGGCAAAAGAAGAGTTGCGACTAACTGACAAATAATCCCAACACGGTTGAGCCGGTTTTGGGGTGGGAAGCAGATACTATCTTCTTGCCAGCATTCTTTCTTGAAGAGACATGCCACTCGCTGTTTCGTCTATCGTCTTCACATTATTATATGGAGTTATGCTCACCTCCTGGAACTCAACAATTTACTATTCAACGCAGTAACTATACACCTTCCCATAAATCTTGAAGACTGAAAGTACCAAACCTTCATCATTTGTGACCATAAGCTCCCCGGGAATGACGGACTTCCTTGCATTGTCCTTTGTGCCGCTACACCAAAGTTTAAACCTAAAGGTCATTGTAAGATTCAATATCCCACACACTTAGGGCTGGACGCGACCAAAAGTTTAGAAGGGCGTGGTAAACAATGATGCAGAAAGGTTAGAAATGTAATGCTGAGAGATATTGTTTGACTCTCAGCTTGCGGTCCACCAACCTTAACAGACCGCCCTGGAGAGAGGTGAGGCTGTGGCATGTTTATTCGTATTTTGTACGAGTCCCCAGAAGAGACTAATACATTCACCACTCTACTTACTTAATGCTAATACGAGGAGTTATTTGTAATTTTAATTATGATACCTCCGAGCCAAGCAAGCTGCCAACAAACGGAAACACCTCAATAGACCCGTTCTGAGAATTCATCATCTAAGGGACCAGTCAACAGGCGGAAACATGATGTGAATACCATGAGTGAAGATGGGTGGCGCTATACCACGTCCAAGTGTGAGTTAATCGCACTGCTGATTAGCCATTCGCGGTCAAATGGTATGAATCTCATGGTTCTAGGTTCGGACTTCAGCAGAGATATGTAAACAGATGCACGGAACTGATGATTTCTGTCAAGGAATGAATATTTGTATGGTGCATCTGCTCCTTTGATCCTAGGCTCACTTACAGGATGAAATGTGTCAGCATTCAATTTCCGCTAGTAATTAGTCCTTTGGCAGAGAGTGTACAACCAGCACAAATAACCTGAACTTCCCAATATTGTATTGGCAACACATTTGCGTTTATAGCACTCGTTAGGATTGTACACTCTTACTAGTCACGGACATTAACTACTGCCAGCCCGAAGACCTAACTGCACTGTGCATTATGCCTCAGGGTTATTGGGTGGTAGGCGGGCGAGACTGCCTTTAAAAGTCATCTGACTCGGTAGTGCGTTCTTTATGAAGAATAAAGACAAGTTATGCAATGTTTACCGTTAACACATCCATTTTACTGAGGACGGATTGCTGCTGCAAGAGAAGATGCGTAATCCTAATTCCGAAAGGAAAATGTGTACAGTATTAGTGGACAACAGTGGTTTCTCCACGGGACCCAGCAGACATTACTGATTCCTTCATGTGTTTCAGTCTCAGAGTGTACCGCTCTCGTTTAAATGCCAAGCGGTTAGGTCAACCGGTCACTCTTATCCAAAAAGACTTGAGGCCCATCTATCGCACAGTACTCCAATGGTCGGAAAAAATTAACACGATCGCTTTAGTCTGCAAGGTTTGAAAGTCGACTGATCAATAGACCAGTGATATACCAGGTGATGTATGTAGATATTATATATAATATCATTTTCAATACATATAAGTGCTAACGGCCGATGGCTGTTCACTTTTCTGGATGTTGCTTCACCGACCATGTCTATTACCTGTAGGCCAGAAGTGTGACCCTCACTCCATAAATTGCAGCTGCAGTGTACGTTTGTCCGATCGTCTACTGACAGTCTGGAAAAGAATAATGCAATCATCCGTAGACGTTTCTTGTTTGCACCGTCAATGGTTGCGCGCCCCGCAGTTTTATCCAATTTGCGTAAACATAGATACTGGTGAAGTTTACTCCATGTGCTTCTAAAAACATTGTCATTATAGTAAAACCATTAAGCTGTCATTCCATGAGAACGACTAAACTACAAAGTACACCCTCAATTTCAGACATATCACGGCCGGTGCGCAACGTCGTTGCAAATACCTGTTTCAAAAATACATTGAAGCGTACGCCGCTCTAAATGCCGCTGTCTCCATCTGGTGGCTCACAGTAGTTTCGCTTTTGCTAAATGGCGCACTTTGTTGACAAAGATCATCACTCTAAACACTGAAGGTCCCGATAAGGTCTGTACCGTAAACCAAGCGAAATCAGTGAGGTTACCTATAAGGTCCTTAATGTAGCTCGATGGTCGTGCAAGAATTTTGATAAGTGGGTGACGGTTAACTTGCAGCCTTTCTTGGGTTTTTGTGTCAGGTTTAACTCAAGAGTAAACTCGTCCATACTTCCGTCTCCCTCCGTGTCCTGTCCTTAAAAACGTAAAATATGCAAGCAAACGGTTACATCCTCCTTCGAAAGGTTTGCTTGTTTTTCTTACTTTTTATGTTCCAATGCTGCTGCACCGGAGTAATAGAACAAGCGGTGATTGGCTTTGTGTGAATAATTGACCACTTCTCCAATTTTAGTTG